TTTCACTGGTACATTTTCATAAGTTTATTTGAACAAAACTGTGAGATTAACTAGCAAGATGCATTTGATGAATGAACATTATTTGCTGAAACTATCTTCTCTGGCATCCGGGGTAAGGTAGAAAAAAAATGTATACAGTCTTTTGTTGATAGAGGGGTTTTTATATGAAAGTTTTTTTTTTTTTTTGCTAAAGAAATATAATTAATAAGTATTAATCAATTCTTTATTAAGGAGTGACTGACTAGTTTCTTAGACAGCATATAAATAGGGATTGGTTACAGCCTCCAGTTTTGCCAGATGTACAATAATTATCGTATTTGTACGATGATTTCGACTTCTGTATGATGTTTGATCAATAATGAAAAAAAAATCCTGATAATTTAAGAATTTTTTGCTATTTAAATAGAATTTCATTGTAATCTTAGGGCAGTGGTGGCCAACCCTGTTCCTGGAGAGCCACCTTCCTGAAGATTTCAGTTGCAACCCAAATCAAACACACCTGCCTGTAATTATCAAGTGGTGTTCAGGTCCTAATTAATTGGTTCAGGTGTGTTTGATATGGGTAGCAACTGAAATCTGCAGGAAGATGGCTCTCCAGGAACAAGGTTGGCCACCCCTGTCTTAAGCTGCGGTCACACTGGGCTTTTCCTCCCATAGACTTCCATTCATACGCACACGAATGCGTCAGACCGGAAACGCAGGGTCATGCGTTAAGTTTCGCTGGTTGCTGCGGTGCAAAGTTCAAGCTTGGTGAACTCTGACCTGCGAAAACGCATCATTTGACTGCGTGAGACCAACCAAGGATCAAAACATGACCTCTCTGGACAAAAATCTAAAACATGGAGCAAATTCGGACTTTTTTAATGCCTAATAATCTAGTTTATTCCCACCCCTTTTCGCAGCGCCGCACGACAGAATTTCGCACACACAAGTGTGACCGTAGCTTTAGGGCTTCTATACTTATTGATCTAGCTCCATCGCTTTCTATCTCATCTTATGTTACATCTTCTCATCCAATCAACATGGACAATGGCTCTCTCATGAGTAAATATTCCTGCCAAGCACGTCCGTGCTTAGGTCAGTAGTTTTTAGGTTTTCAGGTAGGTATGGGACGATAACCGTTTTCAAGGTTTACCGTAGTTTGGAAAAGTGAAGGTTTTAAAACTTCAAAATGTTCTGTTGTACCATTCCTAAGGTATATGTATATGTTAAAAAATAAATTAGTTTTTTTTTTAGGACAACAGTATCTCCAGCAGAAAAGATATCTGATCATGCCATTTTAAACTCTAAAGAAATCTGTCTTTTTGAAACTAAGACAGCAGAAGTCAATGATACATTTGATTTATTAAGCCACATTAACGTGTTCACTGATCCAAAATACTTTGAACGTTTCTTAAAGTAAAATATGTGGGCTGCTTCTAAAATCACCTACTACAGAAAACTACAGTAGGTATTGCATTTAAATTTACTACTTGACCAATAGAAAAGTATTTTCTACACCCCTACTGAAAAATCCAGCTTAAACCAGGCTAGACTGGTTGGCTGGTTTTAGCTGGTCGACCAGGCTGGTTTTAGCTGGTTTTTGGCCATTTCCAGGCTGGTTTCCAGCCATTTCCAGCCTGGTCTTAGCTGGTCAGGCTGGGAGATGACCAGCTAAAACCAGCTTGACTAGCCTAGCCAGGCTGGGAGCCCAGCCAAAACCAGCTATGTCCAGCTTAAACCAGGCTGGTCAAGCTGGTTTTAGCTGGATTTAGCTGGTCATTTACCAGCCTGACCAGCTAAGACCAGGCTGGAAATGGCTGGAAACCAGCCTGGAAATGGCCAAAACCACTCTAAAAACAGGGTGGTCGACTAGCTAAAACCAGCCAACCAGCCTAGGCTGGTTTAAGCTGGATTTTTCAGCAGGGACAGTATGAATGTGAGTAGTATGGAGCTTGGATGCACTATGGAAGCCATTTTGTCATCACATGACATACCTGCTTCACTTCCATTCATCAATTCTTTCACGGTGCATCATGGCATAGCGTAGCGTTCATCACTTCTAAATCTTGCAGGAAGTAGTAGGTCATCCTTCTTACATACTGTTTTTCAAATTGTATGAATTCGGACATACTACTTTTCTTGCATACTGTTTTTAGCATACTATGTCATATAGAAGTCATATAAAGCAATTTTGGACGCAGACATCATGTTCAAAGTGAAAAAAAGTTATTGTTTTTTTACCCAGACAATTAAAAAGAACATATTTTAGAGCAGTAATCAGAATACAGCGAAACGGTGATGCTTTTATCCAAGGTTATCATACCATGAGAAACTTATACCGGCCCATGCCTAGGTTGAGGTCAGTCTTTAAAGAAATAAAAGAGAAGGATGGGAGAGTTTGTTTTTTGATGTTCTCCTTTTTTCCTATTTAAACATGTCATGTGAAAGTAGTTTTTCCATCAAAACATAGCCACAAATAGGCTCATTACAAAAACTCTGAATGGGTTCCCCACATAGCAAAATTTCTCAGGCCCAGCTCTGGCCCACACAATCAGGTTTTGCTTGGCCCACATGCCGCAGTGAATTACGGTACATGACTGGACCAAATCTGGCTTCCAGACAAGGGCCAAACACAGACCATATCTGGGCCAAGTCTCAGCCAAGTTAATAACTCATAACTGGGCCTGAACTGGGCCAGATAGGTTGGTGTGTCACGATTGCAATGAAATTGATAAGCCAATGGATTGATGCGCTTTAGGCACACTATGGGCACGCTTTTTCTCAAAGTGACCTGATTGGTAGAATTTTTTTTCTTTACTCAAAAATGGTTTTAGTGTATTTTAAATGTGGGTCAAGACTAGCCAAACTCACATGGCCCACTTATCAAATTTTTAAATCTGGGCCAAATACTACGTTTTACATCTGGCCCAAATCTTGTGTGCCGCCTTAAAAACGGTGCCACCTCTGCCAAACCCGGGCCATGTTTGGCCCACATGCTGTATGCCAGTGCCGGATGAATGCCTTCTGTGCCAGCTTTTTGCCAAATCTGGGCCAGAATTCTTTGCTACTAGGGTCGTGTACACCTGTGTGTTAAAAATTCAGGAGGGTGCATTGCTGTCAAGCCAACCAGCACTATGTTGCAGTTCATGACGACATTTTACTTCTAAATGAATCCCTCAACATCTGCCAACAGGCAGGTATCCGATAATGGGGACTAGGAGGTTGGATTTAAACCTTCCCAGTAAGGTACACCTAGTTGTTGTTTTTTAAGGTATTGTAGTAATTTGCATGTCATTTCGAAACACTATTTGTCTGGATAATGGCTGTATACTCTCCGTTTTTCTAAAAATAAGATAATTTTTAGGTTCTGGTACTTTCATTGTTTATACGTTCAGGTTCTGACATTTCCCATCTGGCAACACTGACAGCCTTCCTTCTCTTGCTTTTGTTCACTGACAATGAAACTGAATAAAATAAATACATGTCATCGTCTTATACAGCAGTGGTTATTTCTAAGTGCTCAGGTCTGTGCTTTTTTTAACAACGCTGTGGCTAATAGGAAAAAGTACAGAGATTCCCATGGTAATTAAGGCAAAACAATCTGCTGGAAGAGAGGTGCTCACTGGGTGTGCATTAACAGGACACCACCTCATTACTTTAAAGGATCAGCCAATCAAAGCTTATGCTTCACTGACTGCACAGATGAGCAACATTACATTTTAAATGTGAAAGTAATGGCAGTGAAGGCATTAAATTAACCTTCCTTTAAATCATTTCAATAAAGGCAGAAGGTGCACTTAAGTCCAGGGATATTAAAATCTAATATTTCATTGATCCTTCACCAGATTTCTATAAAGAAATAACGAAAAATTCTGATAAAGAGCTTTTCACTGATTCCTAATGTCCTTAAAGCACATCAAAGGCATCCTATTTAAAGTCCCTGTCATGAAACCAAAAGCCATATATATTTATTTATTTCTAAACAGAATTCATGCGTGGGTAAAATTTCCGCATTTACAATTTAGGTATACTACTACCTCTGGTGGTTCTAGTGTTAAGAGGTGCAGCTTAGAAATACTGCAAACATTCCTGTGTTCCTAAAATGAGATTAAGACCAATTTCAAACCATTTGAGAGAAAGAAATATAAATCAATTTTTGGATAAACTCTTCAGAATGATGTGACAAATAGCAGCTTTTAACCAAACTAATGTCCCTTTTTCTTTTGAGACTTTAAATTTTATTTTCATTAGGCATAGTCTCTTTATTCATTAGTGGTTGCCACAGCAGAATGAACCGCCAACTTATCCAGTATATGTTTTACACAGCGGATGCCTATCCAGCTGCAACCTAGTACTGGGAAACATCCATCCATACTCATTCAGACACATACACTACGGCCAATTTATTTTACTCAATTCACCAATACCGCTTGTCTTTGGACTGTGGGGTAAACTGGAGCACCTGGAGGAAACCCTCACAAACATGGGGGGAACATGCAAACTCTATACAGAAATGCCAGCTGACGCAGCCGGGACTTTAACCAGCGACCTTCTTGCTGTGAGGCGACAGTGCTAACCAGGGCTTGACATTAACTTTTTTGATCACCAGCCAGTGTGGCTAGTAGTTATCCAACATTACTAGCCACTCACCATTTTCACTAGCCACACTTTTGTTGTTGGGAAAGTATATTTTATATGCATAAATATGACTTTGACAAGCTAAAATGACTTCATTTAAATTTTTTGGAATGTCCACATGCCTCCTCATTTATTTTACCTATTGTGTATGAGCTTGCTCAGTGAGCATGAGCACACTGGTCATGGTTTCATAGTGTTGTTTTGCAATTAGTTTTTATTTCACATGACTTTTCAGAGCTGAAAGGATTTACCAAATTTATCTCTGACCACATTAAAAATAAATAAATAATTATTTCTTTGCCACAAATTTTAAAAAAATGTGTCAGAACAAGCAAAATATAGCTGTATACCATACTTTTAATTTAACAAAACATCTTAAAAAAAAAAAAAACAGTTGACACCAGTTAACTACACATAAATGGGAAGTCAATATCCTATATTCTGTTTAAATAATGGTTAAAGCGAAAGCAACCAGTGCTGCTTACAAAAAAGACTAACCAGGAGCTCTTGAAAGCAGCAGGACTGTGGGTGCAAGAACATAACGTTTTGTGTAGTCTCTTTGAAAGAGAACCGATTACACCATTTGCGTTTCCAGGCACGGCTGTTTCAGGTAAAACGGGAGCATGCACGTGTTTTAAACAGTTGCGCGCATCACATCAGCTGTTGGCGCGATTGATTATCCTCTCATTCAGTATTCAACCGGCTTTCTTTAGCACGCACGAACAAAAATTATATTTGTCAGTCATGCTGCTTCTCGCTTCTATGGTCGCATTTGCACGAATATTGGGCCATCCTTATTGTCGAACCCTGCTTTTAAGAAAAACTACAATTTAAAAATTATTTTTAACAAGCCAAAGTGGCTATTGGAGATGGCTGTCAAACCAACCAGAGCTAAAATCTACCCGCATTTGGCGGGTGTTAATGTAAAGCCCTGGTGCTAACCACTGAACCACTGTCACTTTTCTGACATTTTCACTAAAAATAAGAGCCATAAAAAGCTTAGTGTGTTCATCAGCAGTTTTTCTATTTGAAATAATCATCTAATTATTAATATTTATGTCTAATGTGTTAAACATGCACTGTAACATAAGCTCAGTGAAACAAACATTACGTTAATCAACATAACAGTGTGAAATGAATAATGCCTAATAAGTCACATAGGAGAAACTGTCCATCATATGGCTTGGAAAAAAATATTTGCTACCATTTCCTTGGCAAATAAATATGTACAGCAGGTCATACCATAAGAGGGAGAGGGATATTTTACCATGCAACAGTGGGTGTCATCCAAACCAGTCCACCAGAGGAACACATGTTAGCCTACTTCATTAGTACTAATGTGTATAATGAGTCTGTGTGTTTCATTAATATGCTTATGTGAAGCGATCAGAGTTCATCTTTCGGAGTTTGGGCGGCAGGTGTCCATCCATGCGGCCTCCACCACCAGACAGTCTCTGTAGTTTCGGTGGCAAGTCCGCAACTGATTTGCTGATGGCCTCGCTGGAAATCCTAGTCGTCTTGGTAACCTGCATTTCCTCTGAGACCCCAGGCACTGAACTGATGCGCTGGAGCTTTATAGGCAGTTCGCCAAGGCTGTATGTCATCTCTGATGTGGTGGAGCTCATTCTCAGGAGCTTCCTGGGAAGCCCATCTCTACCTGTCATCTTCTGAACTTTGGCTGGTAATTTGGTGGTGCTCTCTGGATCTTCCAGTAGTTCTAGGCAGTCAAGGGAGCTGTTCTTTTCTCCGCTGTTGCACAGCGATGGGGCCATGAGTGGTGAGGACATGAGTAATGCCTCATCCTGTTCCTTTGCACTGTAGGGAGGTGTGGGAACTTCGAATGTGGCATGGAACTGAGAATAATCCACTTTAAAGAAGCCCTCCTCTAGAGAGATGACTGGGAAGAATCTGTGGCCCCAAAGCACCTCGTCCTCTGTGTATGATGTCCGCGCTTGACAAGTCATGCCTATGGACAAAGGTACAAGAAAAGGAATGTGAATAAATAAGAGTAGTCAAAATCAAAGATTTATCAATTAGTGTAGAGGTCTTCATTCTGAATTTCCGAATAAAACGCGGTAGCAGTTAATAACTCTGGTGTAATTTGAATGGGAGAGGCAGTCTAACAATATAGCGCTCTTGAGTCCTGACATTATTTCAGAACAGCATATCTGTGATTTCCTGATTGTTATTGAGCACCGGTACGGCCAGTGCTCTCAACTGTTACATGCTGAATACATGAACAAGAGCTTAGTGCACATGCTGTTTACCCCACAGTCTGTGTGCGCATCATCTGCATAACGATCCTCAGCGTGGCCTTTACCAAATATGGGAGAGCAAAGTGAAGGTGCGCTGTCCTTCAGCTTGCATTAAAAAATGGTCAGTTTACTGTCCGGAAACCCACATTAGGTGAGTCTTTTACATGTGTCATAGACACAAATGGAAAAAAATAGGCTTTGCGCAATGTGATAATACCTCAACGTTTTACCCTTTAAAAATCACAAGACTGTGTGGGAATATTAATTTATATTATCTGTATTTAACTGAAAAGTTGTTTTTAGGGTGTGACAGACCTTAAATGTCTTAGTTTCCTGAGCCATGATGGTCTCCAAAGTAATGCAAATTGTCAGTTTCACAGCACTGCTGTATCTATCGTCTCTGTCTCCAGAATATCATTTGCACACTGTTTTAATGCTAAAATGTATGGTGAATGGGTAGTTAAATGCTGATGAGATCGGGCCTGGAAAGGCATGTTACCCTGCTGACAACAACACTTCATTTGCATGCTTTGTTTTAGACCAGGGGTGCTCAATCCTGTTCCTGGAGATCTACCTTCCTGCAGACTTCAGTTGCTACCGATATCAAACAACCTGCCTGTAATTATCAAGTGGTGTTCAGGTCCTAATTAATTGGTTCAGGTGTGTTTGATATGGGTAGCAACTGAAATCTGCAGGAGGGTAGATCTCCAGGAACAGGATTGAGCACCCCTGTTTTAGACTGTCCCCACCTACGTGTATCAAATGTATTTCAAGAGTTCAAACTTAGCTGATGATTGATTATAAGCAAGCTTGGCATGCTGTCCCGGGAGAGAGCCCTGAGCTCAAAGGTTCTTGAGCCCTGGGCTCCCTCCCGTTTGGAGGGCGAGAGGGGAGCCTTGAGCTCAGGTAGATCTCGACAACTCCCCCTTGATAAAAACTGATGACTAAAAATTGAATGCTATGAAAATATATGCTGCATGGTGAGAGATTAACTGTAGTGCAAAATTTAGATTGATCAATTTACTTGTTGTGCATGTTTTTTGGAATGTGGGAGGAAACCGGAGGACCCGGGGAAAACCCACGCAAGCACGGGAAGAACATGCAAACTACACACAGAAACGACCACCGGCCTGTTAAAGGACTAGAACCGGTGACGTTCTTGCTGTGAGGCGACAGTGCTAATCACTGGGCCACCGTGCTGCCCTATGGAGGGAAAGGTGAAGAGGTAGGGGTGGAAGGGGGGATTCTTCAAATTGAAGATGACTGTAGTGAAAAAACCCTGGCTCTTTATAGTGGGTTAGGAATGGCCTGATTGGTGGATCATGCATGCTAATGCAGAACCAGCCGTGTTCAATCATAATCACATGCTCCTCTCGAAATTAGTTTATGAATAAACTTCACTTAAACTGAGTGTCTGTTGTACCAATTGAGAGTTTCTTTCGATGCGCCACAGCCACGCTGAGTTCTTCTTATTAAAGGATTCTGCTTTGAAGACAACCGAAAGTTCTCCCTGGTTTTTTGGGCTCGTGGTAGAATTTCACAACAGTTTGGTGCCGTGAGCCAGACTACAGAAATTCACAACAACTGGAACCTCAGGTTTAATTCTTGATGGTAATTTTGTCATAAATTAAGAACATGGACCTGTTCGTTGATAGCAATTTGTCATTTGAAGGCCATATTTCAAGCCTTTATGAAACAGTTCTGTTTATTCTTATGATTGTTTTAAAATTAGAAGTTAAAAAAGTAATGCTAAGACATCATGCTCTCAGTACCTAATGCATAAATGCAAATCTGTGCTTATCCAAACTAAATTGCAAAAAGTAGTGTATTTCTTCTCATCTTGATTTGTCTGTTTCTCTCTTATACCAAGGTGAACATTGTCATTTATACCAAATGTAATTTATAACATTGAAATTGTCATTGTCAGGAAATAACCTTGACTGGCGGGTACCTGCACCTCTATTAATAATCATGTTCATTGAGCTCAAGGCCCCTGAAGAGGGACCTCAATTCTAAATTGTTGCGCAAAAATCTTTCAAAAACCATGTGTGCACAAAAGCCTGTGCGTATGCCTCTCTTCCAGATTTATAAATAGCAAATGATCTTGAAATGTGCGCAGCTGACTTCTGTCAGATCTCCACCTTGTAAACGCCCCCTAATTAATATCATTACCATATGAAAGAGCACATGCCAATATCCGATTTTCTCTGCTTGAGATTGATGAGCACAAAGAAAGAAAAACTTGACAGTGGTAGGGTAGAGGCTCCATATAGAACATTATAGAAAACAAAAATACTTTTTTGTTTATGGGTGTGGGCAACCCAGTGGGTTAATTTTATCCTGTAAAAGATTGGATGTTTTTACTGGATGTTTGAACAGCTGCAGTACTTCAACTGCAGTGTGTATGCCTGCAGTAATTTTCTGTGTTTTACAAATATAAACGTTGTTATGGATTTAAGTGCACACACACACACCAGGGCCGGAGTGGGACTCCTTTTCAGCCCTGGAGTTTCAAGCCTCAGACCGGCCCACGACTGACTGTATTAAAATAAACTATCACGTCTTTTTTTTTTTTTTTTGAGAAAACAGCTGCTTTAGAACTTCAAATGTTCAACAACCCTAACAGTATTATATGTGTTAACAATAAAAATGAAAATAATTAATTACTCAGACGAGGATCAAACCTGGGTTGGTGGCGTCGTAACCTAACGTGCTAACCCTCATCTGAGTTATATCATCATTAACCTGCAGGCTGCATCATGCCCACGAGGCTGCGAGAAAATAGATAAAAAGAGCAGAGCTAGTCAAATAATGAATAAGAACATTGTGGTCAAGTAAATAAATAAATTAATTTTAAAAGTGTGACTGCTGAGAGCAACAGATTCTGGAGCTAGGGACACTATTCTCCCGGTCCTCCCGATTAGCCAATATGGGCCTGACACACACACTCTAATGCTGCGTTCACATCAAATGCGGAAGAAGTGTCAAGCATGAGGGATTAACATGTTAAGTCAATGCAGAGGCGCAAATAGACATCCTGTGGCGTGATTGATCGCGCACAAGTTTGCGCGAGTTGGAGAAATCAGAACTTCAGCAGACATTCATGCCGCATTAACCAATCAGGAGCTTGCTCTTGTGGGGCCGTGATTATGACGTAGAGCCTGTTGTTGGTGTCCCGGGAGGAAATCCTCCTGCCGACACCGGACAACAGTTGATTAAACTGGGCTTATCTTAGTCAGAAGAACCGCTGAAAGCTTCCAACATCCAGGTTCAGTTTTTGGAGGAGTTTATGGGCTCACAGAGCTGGGTACACCTCTGAAAAGTTTTAGTGGACTTGGAAATTAATCGATTTTCAGCCTTCATAAAGCACATTTATTCCCTCAATAAAATCCATGTTAGCCATTTAGCAACAAAGCTAGAGTCACCAGGCAGACAGAAGCCCAGGCCATGACACGAATCCGCATCTATTGTGAAGCGGATTTGATGTGCGAATGAAGCGCATTTGACGGGCAAATAAAGCGAGTAAACTCAAAATGTTCACGCATCTATTTACACACGTATAGCATGATTTATCCATGCGTACCGTGTCTGGTGTGAACACAGCATAAGATCGAATATGAGCATGCACACATTTTATAAATGAGGACCCAGCTCTGCTTCTTCATTTGTTTGAATTGTCCCCTGACTGAGCCTGGTTTCTCTCAAGGTTTTTTTTCCCTTATTTTCATCAGTTGGTGGAATTCGCGTTCTTTGTCAATGTTTGAAGGAATTGGCCACATGTTGCAAAAATGTGATTAAAATAATAATAATTTTACAACAAAAAATAATAGACATGGACTGGACTTAATGTCTACAACAACTAATGTCTCTTCTCGAATCAAAGCCAGCTATATTTACATTAGTCAGCTTCCACCAAAACAAACTTGTTTGTTGCAAAAGTGTTAAAGGACAATATCTTTTCCCTGCATCATCCATCTCTCTTGTGTGCCACTGAACTCAACCTAAATGGCACACACACCAGGTGAGTGCTGGAATGACCACAGGACATGTCAGCACCTAAGTGGACATGTGGTTGACACTTCCCACAAGGACAATGATAATACCATGCAGCCACAAAAACCACTGCTCATGAACACCTGCACACAGAGCTTAACACTGAAAGTCTATGACATATTGTAATGCTGAGTTCACACCAGACGCGGAGGAATCCATAAAGCGCGAGTGATTTAAATGTTAAGCCAATGCAAAGACGGGAATAGACATCATGCAGCACGAATGACTCGATTCACGCGAATGAAACGGCACAAATTGAGGATGTTTCGTGCAAATCGCTCAAGTTTAAAAATCTTAACTTCAGCGGACATTCACGCCACATTAACTAATCAGGAGCGTTTGCTCTTGTGTGGCCGTGATTATGACGTAGAGCCTGTTGTTGGTGTCCCGGGGGAAAATTCTCCTGCCGACACAGACAACAGTTAAACAAACTGGGCTTGGCTCAGTCAGAAGCACCGCTAAAAGCCTCCATCCTCCAGGTTAAGTCTCTGGAGGGGTTTATGAGCTCACAGAGCTGGGTGCACCTCTGAAATGATCTAGAGGACACAGACACGGCTTCAAACAAATCGATGCTGTTTTTCAGCCTTCATAAAGCCCATAAACGGTTATTCCAGCCTGATCTCGCGGGAAAACGTAAGTATTTTATGTTTTGGCAGTT